TTGTCGAATCGATCGAAATGTTTATAGTTGTAAGTTACAAGATAGCGGAACGCAAGTCCCAATCTCGGTTAAAAAAAAAAACAATTCATTAACATATCAGAAAAGCATTAAAATAAACGCACCGAAAGAATTCCTCTCATATTTTCCGGTTCCTTAACTAATTAAGGAGATGAAAATGATTTTCACTAAACAAGCATATTTTTGTAGTTCTTGTTTTTTTTTTTTTTTTTTCTTGACATATTTTGATCCTTGCTCTCCCTACATATTATTCTTTGATGCTAATTAATATGCGAGTTATAGATCATTCCCAATAATTTATACTATTTGCTTTCATATTCATATTAGATTTTGAAGTCACAAATATTAATATTTGGGGGAAAAAATATTATTTGTGCTTTGCCGATTTTTTAGATTAATGAAACTGGTAGTATAGTAGATTGCGATCTACGTACATTATTATGCTATATAAATTAAAATAATATCAATGTATGGACCGCATTATGTGTGTATGAACAATATTAACGTAAAAGTGGATATCGTATAATCGGTTGTTACTGGAATGTGAAATAATTCGCTGATCCACAATTGGAATTGCGCACAAATGTTCGCAATTATTTTGTAATTCCAAGTCACGCATAATTAACTTAAAACCACGTAATTTCGCTTTTAAACTATGACATTTGTTGCTTATGACCATATTGAGACTTTCACTCCATGTTCGATCGACAAATTTATGTAAATGAATTAAAAAGGGTCGTTACCTCTTATTATACAATTTCTTTTTCTAAGAAATGGAGAGAGAACAGTTTCTCTCGACTCCTTTTAGAAGATAAGTTAATTAACAATTAAAACCTGCTAAACAGGGGACGTTTATTCATTACAAAAAATTAAATTAAACCTGAGCTAAAATATTAAAGAAAATTAAAATTAAACAATTAAAAGAATTGTCATGCGCAGCGCTAAAAAAACCTATGGCGGCCGGTTGCTGGCAAAGTTTCGGCTGTTAAAAAACTGCAAGATTTCGTGATCCATCCGCTCTCAAAATTTGAGAACAAGAAAAACAGAGAGAGAGAGAGAGAGAGGAAGAAAGGAAGAAAGAAACAGAAGGGAGTATTATCGCAAAGAGACAAAGAAAAAGGGGGCGGGGGGGAGAGAGAGAGAAAGAAAGAGCTTCACTTATTGTGTGCTCTAAAACACTATCCTCTCAAGCACATAAATCATAGAAATATAATATAAATATGAAAGCAAATAACTCAAATTATTGGGAGTGGCTTATAATTCGCATATTAATATTACTGGGAATGGTTTATAATTCGCATGAAAGAATAGTGTGTGTGCAGGGAGACCAAGAGAGAAAGAATCAAAATATGCCTAAAAAAAAAAAGACAAAAACCAGCATAAAAATATACTTGTTCAAATCATTTTCATCTTCTTAATTTACAACTTGAGAGTTTTACTTGAGAGAAAGAGGGAGAAAGAAAGAGAGAGAAAGTCCTTGTTTTTGCGTCCCTACGGCTTATTATTATCATTCGTCACACGCGTCGGGTACTTCGCGGCGCGAAGTTTATCGTGACGGATGGACGCCGCGGAGAGAAATCGTGTCCCGAAATTTTCGGCGGGGTCAACGACCCACCCGCGTGCTCGCTCGTGTTCGCGCACTCTCGCCCCGTGTAGTCAGTTTCCTTTCCTAATGTTCGGTCGTTAGACGCAAGATATCCCCCGATAAAATTTCCACCCTCCCCTCTTCGCGCGCGCACTGTTGTCAAAATGATAAATGTGAGCGCGGCGGCGCGGGGCCGCGGCACTTCCACTGTGTTTCCTCATTATACGCGAAATCCCGAAATTCCCTCCCAGCGGCGCATTATTCATTTCGGAGAGTCCCGAGAACGCATTAAAACGCCGGAGAGCGCCGGTGTCTCGCACGCGGTAATAACGAGCTCGCGGCGGATCCTCCATTTATTTATTTATTTATTTATTTGCCGCGACGTGTCATTGTCGTTGCGGGGACAGACTAAATAATGGAGTCGCTTTAGCGCTTGTCCCGCTTAATATTTTATCGGTCAACGTGTAAAAGTACGTCCTCTCGTCGGTGTAACTCAAAGTTTTTTATGCGCCACTCAACAAAATTAATTCTTTTCGCGCGTGGAACATTCGACGTTAGACACGAGTAAGAATACGCACCGATGACGTATCTCTCTCTCTCTCTCTCTCTTTCTCTCTTTCGCTCTTCTTTTTTCCTTTGTTGACGGAGAAACAAAAATTCAAATAGTCGCGGGGAGAGAGGGGAGGAGAGAGGACGGTCGAAAATAGGTCGTTTCGTTAGAGCGCATTAGCGCGGCGCGTGAAAATAAAAGTCTGCGTCGAGAAATCGAGAGACTTTCTGCGCGCGCGCGCGCGAGGATTAACACTCGGATGACACTTTTTGCCCGGATTTTTACATAATGACGGCGGTAGGACGACCTAGTTCGCGCGTCTAACAGTAATTTCATTGTGACTGTTAGACCGACCACCAATGTGCGCCGCGACGGCGACGCACGCGGGGGTCACTCACCTTCCACCTCGGTATATTCGAGCGCGATTAGATTCATTAGGCGCCGAACGCGTGTGTATATATATATATATATATATATATATATATATATAAAATAAAATATACTCAGGCGCATGTACCTTTCAGATTGGATGAATTTAACCCGATGTCACGAGCGTCCCTCACCGGGACGCGAGGAGAGATGAATGTCCTTACGGCAATTACGCGCTTACGGTTTATTAATTCCGTGCGTGTGACGACCCACATCCTTATGATCGCGTCACATTCTGGAATTTAACCTATCCGAGGTATTTCGGGGGTATGAGACACGCGCGCACGCGCGCGCCGTTCTCTGGTAATCGGAGTTACTATCTGCTGGAAAAAATCACACACGCGACCGTCCGGTATTTCTTTCGTCTCGAGTGGAACAAAAATCTCGCGTTTTTGCGTCACGAGGATAGCTTGTTGGAAGTTTATTAAGTGCTGTGATGTGAAAAACTTATCGAGACTTTCGGTTGAGGATGACCACAATACACGCAGAAAGCTGCGTACTCTATTCAAATAAACGTTACTTGTTTCAAGTATTTTGATAGTTTATATATCCGCAAATCCAGCATAAATTCATCATCACAAGCACTAAATTTATTCTAAGTACATTCTGCGTCCCAACAAATTCAATATTTCAATCGAGAATATTAAAATAAAAATATTAAATACAAAAACTCGGTTTGCTCGAACCAACTTTTTTCTTGGATAAAGCTTTATAATATTCTTGTAAAGAGAATAATTTCTTCTTTTGAGTAATAATGCGCTTTTCTAAAATTTGTGATAAGTATATTTTAAGACAATTACCTAAAAAATATTCTTCGTTGAAAAGACGGAGGAAAGCAAACTGAATAATCGCTTTTGTTAGTAGTAGAATAATATTTTCCTGTGTGGTCGAAACGATTAGGTAATAAAATAATTTGTACCTGTGTGTGCGCGCGCAGTATATCATAATTAGATCTATAATTGGTCCTTTATTATTATATTCATCGAATACTCTGTCTTTTTATTCCGAAATTGACCCAGTCTGTCGGGTATCTTAACGGTTTAACGGCATTATCTTAATCATTTAACAGTTAACCTGACAGCGTTAACAACTTAACGCTGTTAGGTATGCATAATTTCATTCGCATAGTCGCTTATCGAAGATTTCTTATCAAGAAATATTTAATAACGGTGTTATTAATAATAAGAAGTTTCTTAGTATTACTTGTACGTAACAGCGGCCGTCAAAGTGTTGACAGTCAATTCTTATGTATTATATACTCTTTATATATAAATCCATAAATCTATATTTATACTATAGATTTCATAATATTATAATTATAGCCAATTATTATCGACAAATAATTTAACAAAGATTTGTAAAAAAAACTGAAGATAAACATCCAGTAAGAAAGAATCTGCTAATAACAGCTGTAACTACATATTGAGCGTGATGATTTTTATCTAATTCTATTTTGAAGCAAGTTTTATATAAAACTGATATACTTAGAATGTCAAAGGTAACATAAAAAATATTACTTCCACAAAAATATTTTAATTATCATTTTTTATTGCATTGTTTTTAAGAAAAGTGTTGCCTACGAATTTACCTAAAATATTCTTAATTATGTGGCATTTAATTAATTAAATTTTTATGTATTTTGAAAACTTGCCGCGGATAGGATCGGGAAGTCTAGTTCTTGGGTTGCCTACCTTACTTATTATCACTTTTACTTTGACTGTAGATATGTTTCATATATCGTAAGATGATGAGAACAATTCAGTAAAATTAATATCCATAATATGTTTCAGTAAAATTAATATGTAATCTATAATATGTTAATCTATATTATCCATAATATGTTAATCTATATTATATAAAAGCATATAAAATATGTAATTTTAACATTACAAATTGTTACTTGAATATTTATATATGTTGAATCACGTTTTGAAATGACATAAACATGTATTAAATTAACATATATCTTATATACTTTAATTTTTGTTAATATAAAATTGATTATAAAAAATGTTAAATTTTTTTAATATTATTTTTTAAACAAATATTATTTTTAAATATTATTTAACATTTTTTAAATAAAAATAATTTTTGAAATAACTTAAAATAATATTTTATTTCTAAGTGATATACAAAAATCTACTATGTACTTTAATTTTTGTTTTAGTTGTGTTTTAGTTTTTGTGTTTAATATCAAAATGACTGTAAAAAATGTTGATTTTTTTAAATAATCGTGTTGAAATAAGATAATATTTCATTTTTTTCTAAGTAACACAAAAATCGTTAAGTTATGCAAAGTTGATATTAATATAACAAGTAAAATGCAAAAATAATAACATATCAATTATATGTTAACTTTACATTAAAATTACGATAATAATTTAAATTGGTAACACAAGGAAGTTTGAACATTTACAGGCAAGACTCTGTACAATGCAAGTGCGGTCGTCACAGCGTGAAGTTAATTAATTTCTCGAATAACACGGTTAACGAGGACACGATTAACGAGGGACTTCAACGCTCGCTCTCTTCAGCGAGAAGTGATTCGATGTCATTGCTTGGAGATCCTGCAATAAGAGCGTTCTAGCTGTGAACAATAGCCGAGAGGAAATTCGCAACTAATCTCGCGCACTGGCTTCCAACCGCCACCGCCGCCGCTTGCATTAGGTGTGTACCACTAAACCAATTAATTGTTAATGAGTGTTAATGAGCCGTGATACAAGAGGCGTGCATTAGACGCGGGCTCACCGCGACAGACACATCGTATATAGATTCTAATGGCGATCGCGCATCGCTGTCGCCGCGACGGGAGCGAGACGGAAAGCGGGACAAACGACGGCGATAGATTCTTGCTTTCGGGGCACGCGCTCCTCCTCGCTCGTCGTTACACGTCGATTCTACGGGACATACACGCGACAGTAGGGTGTTCCTGCGCTCGTGAGAAGTAACAAATTGGAAGGTGAATTTAAGAAGCGAGCGCGGAGAGAAGGAAATATCACGTTTCTTTAGAAAGCTGCCTTCTCTCCCTTTCCTCTCCTTCTTCCTCTGTCCCTCGGCCTCTCTCGCTTCCTCTCCAGAGCCACGACTGCCGGCATCGATCGTTAACAACGATACTTTAGTTTTCAACGCTGAGTGGTTCAATTTACGTAGGAGAGTCGCGTGTCGAAGCGAACTTTCGTCCCGGACACGCCCGTTTGACAATATTTTCTTTTCTGTGCGCGACGCGTCGAAATGACGACAAGTACATACATACGGAGTACGCGAAAACTTCGCTCGCGGGCGCGCGACACGTTTCGTGTTAAACGTTACGACACGCGTCAAGCCAAGCCCGATAAACAAATACACGGACGATATTCTGGATCTCGTGCGGAGAAAATAAGAAGAGAAATTGACTTGTATCCGATTTTCGTTCCTTCTGCCACCCTGACTCTTTTCCCCCGCCTGCCACCCCCTCTGTCCCCTGCGACACGAAAATAACGGTCGATACGATTCTAAAACAAGAGCTCTAAAATTACGCGTCTCTAATCGTGGTCTAACGCAAGCCTCGTGAAACAAATATACAGCGCGTGGACGACGGCCGGTTGTTGCCGTCCGTCTCCCCCCTCGGGATTCCGCGGTTCCTTGCATCATGAAATTTTTCAAGACTTTCTCAGATACAGCACAGATGCCGATTAGAGTGCTTTGACCTGATGCGAAATTGAGCTACAACACCGCTACGATATCAATTGGGAATCCCATTCTTATATCTGTGTGAAGTTAGCCTTTTCGAATTGTGTATCTTCATTAACCCTTTGAACCATATATTTTATTTCTCGGTTAAGGGGATGCTGGAGTTGATGACGAACTCGAACAATGTCGATAATGCAGAGACGATCGTCATTAACACAATTCCTTTTCGTATTTCTTGTATATACAGAACTTGTATGAATGTATGTTGCTTTGTTTTATCATATTCAACGGAAAACCTAATCATATAAGTGTAGAAATTTTTCTAAGCAAACTTTTTCGATATTTTTAAGCTTCCAAATGCAGATGCGAAGGTAGAGCAATGTTCTTCAAAATTTTTCTGTTTGGAGCGTCTTTCACTTTCGGTATATACAAGTGCGGAACTTTTGGATTAGGCAAACATTACGCTGACAGCTTGAGATTTTACATTAAAAATTTTTTGTTCGTTTTCGTCATATATCGAGCAATACTCCTATTTATTTTTGCACGTACTTTCATTGCGTAAAAGTATTTGTAATTCTATGTAATCAAAACAGCGTAAACTTTGCAGAAAAATGTCAGTGTTCTGTCGATAAAGTTTTCAACTTCAGCATCCTCTTAAGTTTCTTCAAATTTGGCATATATGAGGGATTTCGGGATCATTAATCACGAATTGAAGAAGTTAATATTCGAAATGACAGGTCCAATATGGCAATCATAAATTTTCAAAGTTACCAATCTCGCTTTTAGCATTTTATCTGGAAGTAATAATAACATTTCCTCGATATGAAACAAAGATATTTGTGTTTCTTTGACAAGAAACTTGCGGTAAACATATTACTAATATTTTAATAGTTTATTGTAAAAAAATAGAACTTAGAAAAAATTTTGAAAAAAAATGTGTAAAATACTATTAATTGTCTTCAATAAGCGACTAATATTTCGATATGTCGGTTCCTAAAAGTTAGTCCTGAAATGATTTTTGTCTGCCTTTTTCTAACTTGTATTTGCTTGTAATTTAAAAACCAAGTATGCAATATAGTAATACTATAATCTGCGGATAATTATGTCTAAGTTAGTTAAAATCACTAAAAATGAAAGGGGCGGCTACCGTCTCATTATGATTCAAAGGGTTAATTGCAAGGATTAATCGCACAAACGCGAGATCTATAACTTCAATAACATTTGAAAAAATAAAAAGAAAACAAAATTTATTAATATTAGCCCCATATATTACTATCTAAATGAATTTATTTATTTTTTTGTAGATAGATGCTAATTTGTGTGTGTCACGTTACGCCGTTGGGAGAAATTCGATATTTCCTGCCATTTAGTTTATACAAAATATTGAACATTCAACATAAAATAATAAATAAATGTTTCTGCAACGTGAGTTTTTACAACTCGCATTTTTTGTGCCGAGTTGTGCCGAGTGGTGTTGCTCGAGTATAACAAGCACGCAAAACTTTCTAAAAAAAAAATCCCGATAGGAAAAAAAATTGATCGGAAAGGATGAAGCTAATTAATAAAGCACTTTCAGTATTTTACTGAATAATGAAATTAAATTGTTTGAAAAGTCAGTATAGGTTTCGTTCAATTCCAATATAAAAATGAAGATCAGAAGAAACATTAGGAGAACTTTATATTTCCCGCTTAAAATATCGCGTGTTTGGAACTTTACGTACCACAAATCTCGTAATTATTTTGGGCAATCGGACTGAATAACAATTAAGTCCCAAGAAATTTTCTACGCGGCTGCTGCGCCGCGCGGAAGAGGAGGAGTCGCCTCCGCCGACGGGCCGGCGTCCGCAAAAATGCAATGTACTCGACGTCGGATTGACGCCGCGACGGAATATTGGCCGCGCTATTGAGTCAGAGCCCACGATATATTAACATATCTAATACGCCGTGCACACGTGCACGCATACACACACACACACACACACGTATCCGCAAAGGACAAATGTGTGCGTACCGCGAGCACAGCGCGCTGTCGCACTTATGCACACAGACGTACCGGCGCGTGCGCAAACTCTATGCACTGGACCGAGTCATTGACCCGCGTATAAAACACACACACGTAGGCGATGCCACCCGTGGCGAGCGTGTGTTCTCTCGTCGTCTAGCAGCGACGACGACGACGACGACGACGACGACGACGACGACGACGACGACGACGGTGATGGAGGTGGAAGTGGAGGTGATGTCGATGATGGTGGTGTAAAGACGGGTGCACGCGGTGCAGCGCGTCGCAGTTGTGACATTGCACAACGCGACGTCGCGGCGTCCTCCCGCGACGGCTTATTATTATTATCATTATTATTTTTACGCTGTCGCGAAAACGCGCGTCGTCGTTAGGAAACTTTCAACGAGCGGCTTCCTCGGCTACGTAATCCGCGGAGACGAGAGCGACGTGTGACGTCTCTAGCTAACGAGCGCTCTCTCTTTCTCTCTCTCTTGTCGGAACACGAATTCGCACTTACGCGAGTGCTGCTCGAGAGGGAGAAGGAGGATAGCGTCGCATACATTACACGCTTCGTTACGCAATTTTCGAAACGATTGTAATCGACCGGTCGACGGAAGATATAAGTGTTCTCTGATGGAATCTCTCTCTCTCTCCCTCTCTCCCCCTCTCTCTCTATCTATCCATCTCTGTTCCTCTTTTTCTCGTTGTCGAGACGTTTGTCTATCTGGTCGAGATAAGAGACGCGAAGAACGGTACTCGGGCCGGCGATCCGTTAAAATTTCATTCGCAACGCATCACTCGGATACGTGTCCTCGACGCGTTTATCCACTCGATAAATTTACTCCTAATTGTACAGACAGTAAAAAAGAGAAAAAAGAAAGGAAGAAAAGAGAACCTGACTCCACGGCAGTCCGCCGTGCGTACGTCGATACGCGCGCTCGCATTGGCTGCGAATCCGAATTTCGTTGTAATGAGGATTTGGCGCTGTCTGTCCGTTATAACGAAATTTGAATGCAGTTCAGAACGCAAATAGAAAACGGGTCAACCAAATGTCTTGTGCGCCTTACAAAATTACGCCCCACGTGCGTGTATGTGTATATTAATGGGAGCTGCGTTCTTGACGTTCTTGCGTTCGCACACCGAGGCGAAAAAGAAGAGAGGAAATTAAAAAAAGAACCGACTCTCCCTCCCTCCCTCTTTTTTTCTTTCTCAGCGACTTCTCGCAAATACGCGAGCCAGATGTATCCGCGACGGCGATGGCGCTACCAGATAAATCGTCTATATGATTGCACCGAGTGGATTTTCTCATTTCACACGAAGACATCGTGCAACGACCAGCCACGAGACCGGCAGGAAGGCGTAGCATTGCGTATCAATTATCGCTATTACCTCAAGTCGAAATTTTTATCCCGCTTTCAGCCTTATTACTCTGAAACCTACATCAACCTCTCAATTTAAGCTACTCAATTTAAGTCTCTCAATTTAAGCTACTCGAGTCGAAATTTTTTTTCCTACTTTCAGCCTCACTACTCCACTCAACACGCTTTTGACGCTGAAGAAAGTGAAAAGGGAAATTTCAGACATCATCAAAGTCAAAGTAGAACGTATCATTAGAATTAAACTTTGCTAACTTAGCTCCTACTGCGTTGTAGAATTCAAGGTTTAACATAGGGCCAAAATTTTGATTCGGGACGACTCGTTAGAGAAGCCGAAGTTACTCGAAACCGAGCGAGGATCGATCGCGTCACCGAGAGATTTCCACGCGGAGTGTCGAGAGCTCGTCTCGCGGGCGTTTCTCCGCGTTTCCACGTGAAAAAGCGAGTTCACCAACAGCTGACGGACGTTACCGTCGGCGGTGAGTTTCCTACGCGTTTTCACGATTTACGCGACGTGTCGTTGAGCGACGGAGCGAGGAAACACGATCTATAAACTCCTTTATTACGACAGCGCGCGGGCGCGTACACGCTCTCCGCGGAAACGCGTGCGATTATTAAGA